CTTGTGCTATAGGTGTCTTATTAAGAAATTTGGGGCCTGCCCCCATGTGGTGAAGATTAGGGCCAACTTTATCTTCTATTAGATGCAGAGTCTCTGGTCTGATTCCTAGCTCCTTGATCCATTTTGAGTTGACTTTTGCGCATGGTGAGAGAAAGGGAATCAATTTCATTTTGTTGCATATAGATTTCCAGTTCTCCCAGCACCATTTGTTGAAGATGCTATCCTTTCTCCATTGCATGTTTTTAGCATCTTTGTCTAATATGAGGTAGTTGTAATTTTGTGGATTTGTCTCTGTGCCCTCTATTCTGTACCATTGGTCTACCTGCCTATTTTGGTACCAGTACCATGCTGTTTTTGTTACTGTTGCTTTACAGTATAGTTTAAAATTTGGAATTGCAATACCACCAATTTCACTCTTCCTGCTTAGAATTACTTTAGCTATTCTGGGTCTCTTATTTTTCCAGATGAATTTCATGATTGCTTTTTCTATTTCTGCAAGGAATGTCATTGGGATTTTGATGGGAATTGCTTTGAATCTGTAAAGTGCTTTTGGTAATATGGCCATCTTAATAATATTAATTCTACCAATCCATGAGCAAGGTAAATCCTTCCATCTTCTAAGGTCTTCTTCTATTTCTTTTTTCAGGGTTCTGTAGTTTTCATTGTATAGATCTTTCACCTCTTTTGTTAGGTTGATTCCCAGGTATTTTTTTTTTTTTTTGAGGATATTGTGAATGGAGAGTTGTCCTCATTTCCATTTCAGAGAATTTGTCACTGATATACAGGAATGCCTTTGATTTATTGGTATTGATTTTATATTCTGCCCCTTTGCTGAATTTATTTACTAGTTCTAGAAGTTTCTTGGTTGAACTTTCTGGGTCTGCTAGGTATAGGATCATGTCATCGGCAAATAGTGCTGATTTAAGTTCTTCTTTTCCTATATTTATGCCTTTAATTTCTTTCGTCTGTCTAATTGCTCTAGCTAGTGTTTCAAAAACTATGTTGAATAGAAGTGGTGAGAGAGAGCATCCCTGTCTTGTTCCAGATTTTAAAGGGAACGCCTTCAATTTTTCTCCAGTTAGAATGATGCTGGCCTGAGGCTTAGCGTATATAGCTTTTACCATGTTGAGATAATTTCCTGTTATCCCTAATTTTTCTAGAGTTTTGAACATAAAGGGATGCTGTATTTTGTCGAATGCTTTTTCAGTATCTATCGAGATGATCATATGGTTCTTATCTTTAAGTCTATTGATGTGATGAATTACATTTATTGATTTCCATATATTGAACCAGCCTTGCATCCCAGGGATGAATCCCACTTGGTCATGGTGCACGATCTTTTTTGTATCCGATTTGCCAGAATTTTATTGAGAATTTTTGCATGTATATTCATTAGGGATATTGGTCTGAAGTTTTCTTTCTTTGATGTGTCTTTGTTCTGGTTTTGGAATCAGGGTGATGTTGGCCTTACAGAATGAATTTGGAAGTACTCCCTCTTTTTCTATCTCCTGAAATAGATTGAAGAGTATTGGTATTAGTTCTTCTTTAAAGTTCTTGTAAAACTCTGCCGTATATCCGTCTGGTCCTGGGCTTTTCTTGCTTGGAAGTCTTTTGATGGCTTCTATTTCCTCACTTGATATTGGTCTGTTTAGGTTGTTTATATCATCCTGACTCAATCTGGGTGGCTCATATGCCTTAAGGAATTTATCGATGCCTTCACTATCCTCTATTTTATTAGAGTATAGGGTTTCAAAATAATTTTTAATTATCTTCTGTGTTTCTGAAGTGTCTGTTTTGATGTTGCCTTTTTCATCCCGTAAGCTAGTAATTTGCGTTCTCTCTCTTCTTCTCTTTGTTAGTGTGGCTAGTGGTCTATCAATCTTATTTATTTTTTCAAAGATTCAACTTTTAGTTTTGTCAATTTTTTCGATTGTTTCTTTTGTTTCGATTTCATTGATTTCAGCTCTGATTTTAATTATTTCTTGCCTTCTACTGTATTTGCTGCTGATTTGTTCTTCTTTTTCTAAGGCTTCAAGGTGTAGTGTGAGGTCATTTATTTGTTGGCTTTTCCTTCTTTTAAGGAATGAACTCCATGAAATGAATTTTCTTCTTAGTACTGCTTTCATAGTGTCCCAGAGATTTCGATATGTTGTGTCTGAGTTTTCATTTACCTCTAAGAATTTTTTAATTTCCTCTTTGATGTCTTCTGTAACCCTTTGTTCATTCAGTAGCATATTGTTTATTCTCCTTGTGATGTAGGATTTTTTCTTTCTTATTTTATTATTGATTTCCAATTTCATTCCATTATGATCAGATAAAATGCATGGTAGTATCTCTACTCCTTTGTATTTGCTAAGATTTGCCCTGTGACATAATATATGGTCTATTTTTGAGAAGGATCCATGTGCTGCTGAGAAGAAAGTGTATCTGCTTGATGTTGGGTGGTATATTCTGTATATGTCAATTAAGTCTAAGTTATTAATTGTATTATTGAGCTCTAGGGTTTCTTTATTCAACTTTTGTTTGGAAGATCTGTCCAGTGGTGAGAGAGGTGTGTTAAAATCTCCCATGATTATTGTGTTGTGGTCTATTTGACTCTTGAACTTGAGAAGAGTTTGTTTGAACGTAGCTGCACCATTGTTTGGGGCATATATATTAATGATCGTTAAGTCTTGTTGGTGTATTGATGTTTTTATATTAACCAAGTTTAGCTTTTAAAGACATAACACAATTTTCTAAAATAACAGTTCTTGTTTAATCAGCTGTTTAATTCCTTTAAGATTACTTACTTTAGAAACAAGAAACAAAACTTAATAAAACAAAATGTTATGAGAAATCTTTGTCCTTTTAACATATGACTGATTGTAAAGACAAACTTACACAGACCTTTTTTATCACTTACTTAAACCTATATAGCCAACATACACAGACCTGCTTTATCACTTACTTAAACCCTCTTATTTACTTAATCACATAGACTCTCTTATCCAGAAACACATTTTCCTTCTATTAAAATCCATACCTAGAACCTTCTAATTTCCCTTTTCCATCTTTTAGCCTCCTTTTCTGTTCACATTTTAAAACAATCCTTGTAAATTTCTGAATTTAGGCAGATTATTTCATAGACATCAACATTTTATTAGTTTTTTTTTTTTTTTTTGGACACCTAGAAAAACTTGTAAGCTTAATTTTAAAAACATCTTTATTTTCATCTGTTTACCCAATTTAAATTGAACCGTTTAAATCACGTGAATCAAAGATATTTGGATCCATTTTTTTTAATTTTCATGAGTGCTCTATATATCTGCCAATTTTCATAAAGACATCATTATTTTTATCTGTTACAGCACATAACACTAGTGTGCACACATAACACAATAGTAAAGGCCTTGTAGCTTTTCGCAGGGGAAATCTCCACTGCAATGTTTAAAGACTCCACAGTTGATATCAACACATTATTGCCCATGTCTTAAAGGGCCAGAAACAGATACAGATAGAGAGAAAGGAGCTCCAGACTACAGCTGACAGACAGGAACTTTTAAAACAGACCAGATAAGAGAAAAATCTCCCCAAGTTTCTAACTCCCATTTAATTATGACTCCTACACCAGTGGCACCATAGATGTCCACACTAGTGGACCAGATGTTCTCACAGAGGGGCAACCAGAAGTGTAAAATCAAGGGTCTCAGTGTGGCGGTTTTACTGCATTCAGTGTCTCCCCCCCCCCTTTTTTTTTTAAGTAGACAGAGATGGAGCAATCTTTACAGTGCAGAGAAGGAAGGAGGGAGTTCCCCGAAGCAAAAGGGGCTTCGGCAACTGCTGGGAGTCCCTTAGTCCCTCCTTTTACTTACAGGATTAGCTCCTCTGGTTAGGTCCAATCCCAGGCACGCTGCATATCTCCTAACTTTCCAGTAGTCAGCTGTCAAAAAGTTAATCCTCCGCATGCAGTTGCTTGAAGTGCTAGGCCTTCCCAGGAAAGCAGAGCGAGGGTTCCTCTAGAGTCCCCTTTGGGGTGCCAAAATTTGTGACTGGAAGTTCGGTTCCTGTCCTTGAAGCCAATTAATGCCAATTTAATAATGAGGACAGAGTTTTGAGAAAAAGAAAAAGGGAGATATCAAAGTTCTTAGATCCCCAGAAGGCATTTCCCTCTGCAGTGGGTGCACTCAAGCCAACTACGGGAAGAAAAGAAAACATTGCTTCCCTAATCCCACTTAACAAAGGGGAGTAAAGTTTATCAAAGTTTTTTAAAACACAGCTCAAAGGGGTGTAAAGGGTGAGAACAGAAAAGCTGGCAGTTCTATTGACTTTTGGTCCCTTTCAGGGAAGCAGGAGAAGCATACCAGGGACATTTTCAGGCTAAAATTTATCTAAAGTTACCTCCACACATCTAAGGCAGATCGGAACTTGGGACACTGCATCTGTCCAAAGTAAAACAATGCCATCACACTTAACAGAGACATAGACAAAAAGACACAGATTCCCTTTTCAGATTGTTGACAAAAACGAAAGTGGGGTGCTGGCCCTAAGCCAACTGGGGCCTTCCCCTCAGACATACAGATTGGGGGAGTATCCCCCTCAGATTGGGTCTGACAACCTCAGATTGGGGGATTAGTTCCCTGCTGGGTAGCCTCATAGTACTTACACACTGGTTTTCCAGAATCATATAAGTGACCCTTTAATAAGATGCACATTCATGGGCCCCAGACCAGAGGTACAGAATCACACTTCCTGGAAGGCCGTGTTAAGTTTTTCAAGTTGGTTTGGTTGGCCACTGAGGCTGGGTTAATGGAGAGAAACTTGATAGCTTCCTTCCCTACCGGCCCCTTTGTATGAAAAAAGCAGCAGGTAGATGGGATACTCTGAATGAAAGAAGATATTTTGAAATTGTTAATTCATTGATTTCTGAATATATATATATATATATATATATATATAGTCAGAGACTATAAGGGGGGGAAACAGGTGTGTAGCTTATCTATGTATCTATTATGTTTCTACAGCATCGAGCTCTAATGGAAGAGTTAAATCGCAGTAAGAAGGATTTTGAAACAATCATTCAAGCTAAGAACAAAGAATTGGAGCAGACCAAGGTACTGGAAAGAAGATGGAGGTTTAGAATTTGGTTAGTACATGCAACTCAGCATTTTCAACAGTGCAAGGGTTGCTATGGTGAATGAGAGAGATTGTGGCTGCTCCGAGCCTCGGGGGAAATAATCTGTAAAATTATTCAGGCCTGTAGAGGACTCTGCTTGCAAGACAACATCTAATTCTTTCTCTTGTTTAGAAGCTAAGTGCTGGGAATGAGGTACTTGCACCCTGCATTCTAGTCCTTTCTGAATGATGGGTGCTCCTTCAGGGTATGGTGAATGCAGACTAAGGAGTATTGTAATCAAAATTAAAAAATAGTTCATCTTGATGCATTTATGCAATTCCTTCCCTCAGTGAATCGGTAGAACTCTTAAATTGGGTTATATTGGTTACCATGGCCAGTAATAAAAGTGAGCAAAGGGGCCTGAGTATAAAAACATGGTAGGGATTGCTGAGGACTGTGGTACTCGCCTTCCACACAAACTGATGAGTCAGCTCTTTGCTCAGTCATTTGTTCTGTCCAGAAATGCAGGTTGGTGTTGTCATATATTTGTTTTTTTCCACAGGAGATGGAAATCCAGATGTTTGTATAAAAGTACCCCAGTTTTCAAACATTGGCCACAAATATTTTTTGTTTTTATTTATTTTGTTTTATTTATTTATTTATTTATTGTTGGTACTGGTAATTGAACCCAGAGGTGCTTTGCCACTGAACTACATCCCCAGTCTTTTTTATTTTTTAATTTGAGCCAGGGTCTTGCTAAATTGTGAGAGTTTCACTAAGTTGCTGAGACTGGCCTTGAACTTGCAATCCTCCTACCTCAGCCTCTCAAGTTGCTGGGGTTATAGGCATGTCTCATCATGTCTGGCACAGTTTTAAATTTTTTAACTGATGCATAAAACCATAGAAATTGTACATATTTAAAAGGTTCTACATGACGTTTCAATACACATATAAGTTTAGGGTTTTTATACGTGCTTTTTAATACCATGAAGACCAAGCTAAACAAGTCTGCAGGATAGATCCAGTCCACAGGTTACCCAGTTTAAAACCTTGAAATGAATACCTGACTGCATCCCTTCCTACTCCACATACAGACCTGAAGCTGAGTGCAGAAGAAAGAGACTCTTTTTTCTTCAGTTGACTTGATATCCGTGTCCTGTATTCAAATCACCTAGTACCCTTTTTGTGCGACATCTTGACGAGGCTCCAGTGGCTGTTGCTGCTCTCCAAGCTTAGCGATGCCGCCCAAGGATGACAAGAAGAAGAAAGACGCCGGAAAGTCGGCTAAGAAAGACAAGGACCCAGTGAACAAATCTGGGGGCAAAGCCAAAAAGAAGAAGTGGTCCAAAGGCAAAGTTCGGGACAAGCCCAACAATCTAGTCTTGTTTGACAAAGCTACTTATGACAAACTCTGTAAGGAAGTTCCCAACTATAAGCTTATTACCCCAGCTGTGGTCTCTGAGAGACTGAAGATTCGAGGTTCCCTGGCCAGGGCAGCCCTTCAGGAGCTCCTCAGTAAAGGACTTATCAAACTGGTTTCAAAGCATAGAGCTCAAGTAATTTATACCAGAAATACCAAGGGTGGAGATGCCCCAGCTGCTGGTGAAGATGCAGGAACAGGTCCAATCAACTGTACATTTGAAACAACAAAACTTTATTAAAACAAACAAACAAACAAATCACCTAGTACCTTCTTCCCCAACCTCCAAAAAACCACCATATCTTTTTTTTTTTCTTTATTGTGGTGCTGGGGATTAAACCCAGGACCTTGTGCATGCTAGGCAAACACTCTACCACTGAACTACATCCCCCAATCCCTGTGCTCTTAAGTTTTTAGGGAACTTTATTCTAGTTAGAAATGGGTCCAGAATCTCTTCACTTCCTTAAGTAACCTGACAGTCTTTGCTTTGATTGGAAGAGAAAATAAAAGATGAAAAAAGAACCAGTTACTCAAATATACTCCAAATGGCTTTTTCTTTCCTCCCCAGGGGCTCTTGTTGCTTTTGTTTGAGGGGATGAGTTAACTGTCTTAAATGTATCAAAAGAGCATGCCTAGAGCTGGGCATGGTGGTGCACACCTGTAATCCAAGTGGCTTGGGAGGTTGAGGCAGGAGAATCATGAGTTCAAAACTAGCCTCAGCAAAAGTGAGGTGCTAAGCAACTCAGGGAGCCCCTGTCTCTAAATAAAATACAAAATAGGGCTGGGAATGTGACTCAGTGGTTGAGTGCCCCTGAGTCCAATCCCTGGTTACCCCCCCCAAAAAAAAAAAAAAAAAAGTAAAAGAGCCTGCCTAGGATCCTCCCCAAAATGTATGTCCATAGGCAGCCTGACTTCTTGGAAAAAGCACAGGGAAATTATCCTTGAGACCTCTACAGGTGTGGGGAGTGGCAAGCATCATAGAGCTTGGAGCCTGAAAGTATTTTAGGAGGCTATCTCTCCTGCCTTCTGCCTTCAGGGAATATAGATATTATCCTTATATTATAGAAGAAGTTACTACAAAAAACACAAGGAACCTTATAACTAATTGAAACTTCCTGCCTCTCTGGATTGGTCTTCATAACTCTTTTTTGTCCAGTGAGTTTTTTGTTGTTGGGATGTTTTTATATATTACCTCTGAATTGCAACTTGGTATACTTCAGTATTGCTACCTTCACTTTTTTGATGAGTTAATTTTGGGGAATGAGACAAGCTATCATGCAGATACTGAAAAAGAAAATAGTGTTTTAGTCCACTCAGGCTGCTATAATAAAATACCATAAACTGGATAGCTTGTAAACAACAGAAATGTATTTTTCATGTTCTACAGGCTGAGAAGTCCAAGACCAAGGTTCTTGACCAATCTGCCAGATTCAGTGTGTGGGGAAGGTCTACTTTCGGGTTAACAGATGATATCTTCTTTGCATGGTAGAAAAGGAGAACACATTTCCTTGAACCTCTTTTATAAGACGGCTAATCCCATTCATGAGAGCAGAGGCTTCATGACCTAGTTCCCTCCCAAAGATTCTAGTTCTTAATACCATCACATAGGGGATAGGTTTCAACATGTGAATTTTGGAGAGATATAGACAATTTAGGAAAAAATTTATTTATATGTGGTGCTGAGAATCAAACCCAGTGCTTCATACATGCTAGGCAAGTGGGGTACCACTGAGCTACAAACCCAGCCCCAAGACATTTAGACCATAGCAAATAGGAGAGGAAAGAAAGGAAGTTAGTTACCGCTCTGTATTAGAAAGCAATTCTTGAGAAACAGTAACTCATAGGAAAGAGTTTTATTCTCATGTGGCTGCACCAGAATGAATTTTAATTTAGACTCCTCTTGAGTCCTACTTTAGTCAATGAACCTTGCCCCATGTCCTGTTATACATTCTTGTCAGTTTTTCCAAATGACAGATGGTATTGTGTATCTTTGCAGGAAGAAAAGGAGAAGGTGCAAGCACAGAAGGAGGAAGTGCTTAGCCACATGAATGACGTGCTAGAGAATGAGCTCCAGTGTATTATTTGTTCAGAATACTTCGTCGAGGTAACGATGAGCTGTGGCTCACCCCTTCCCATCCCTCCAGCCCTGAGTGGAACATGAACTATGCAGCCTCCTTCTGCTAAAGGGAAACATTTTGAAGAGATTTTTTTTCTCTCAGCAATTTATAACTGTTTGATTGCAAAGTGACATCTAGAGATGGCCGCTTACTTGATTTTGTAGTTGTCTTTCCCTTCACTAACCTTTTTTGTATTTATCCTTGAATATTTATTATTATAGTTAACGCTTTTAGCAGAAATAAAGCCTTATCTCTTTGTGGTGAGGGAGGGGAAAACAGGGCCACATTACAATTTCAAACAGGACACAGCTGCTCAATAAAGCTTGCTTGGGCTGGAGCTAGAGCTCAGTGGTAAAGTGCTTGCTTTGCATGCGTGAGGCACTAGGTTCGATCCTCAGCACCACATAAAAATAAAGATATTGTGTGTTCACCTACAACTAAAAAAAAATATTAAAAAAATAATAAAGCTTGCTTTACTCCGAATGAGCACAATGCTAAGAGTAGGCTTGTAATGCCACCTTTTTTTTTTTTTTTTAGTTGTATTTGGACACAATACCTTTAATTTCATTCATTTATTTTTATGTGGTGCTGAGGATCGAACCCAGGGCCCCGCGCATGCTAGGCAAGCGCTCTATCGCTGAGCCACAATCCCAGCCTATAATGCCACCTTTTAAACAAGGTGATAAATGTCTTTGATGTGTGGTCACTTTGGGAATTCAGGGGCTAAAGTGAATACACTTCAGGACTCTGAAGCTCCTTTTGAAAATGAAATCTCACTCTCCAAGGCTATAATTTGTTCTGTCATATTTTTGCACCATCTCTTTCTGGTTTCATAAATTTCTACCATTTGTGACCAGTTCCTGTTAGACTACAAATGTCGTAGTCAGGTTGTTAAATGCCACTTCTTTTTAGACTAGTATAGAGTGGTACTCACCTGAATCCCAATGACCCAGGAGACTGAAGTGGGAGGTTTGCAGGTTTGAGGCCAGCCTCAGTAATTTAGCAGGACCCTTAGCAATTTAGAGAGACCCTATCTTAAAATAAAAAAGGCTGGGGGTATAGCTCAGTGGTAAAGCATCCCTAGCTTCAATTCCCAGTACCAAAATAAATAAAGAGGAAACCCATATGTACACTGCTTTATTTTCCCAGGCAGTCTTTGCAGAGGTAGGATCTATCAGCTTCCTGAAAATATCTCTCCTGAGGAAACCAGTTTCTTTAGTCTGGATCCACTTTGACTCCAGGTCATAATTTTCCCCACACTTTCTAGTTAGATGATTCCCTACTTTGGGGAAACTCAGTGTTATATTGACAGGGCTTATGGACACCAGTAGAGGAAGAGGAAAGGGAGGTTGGAATGGGTGATGTGTCAGCCAACCTGGAGCATCTTCAGAGTCAGAGGAAAGACAAATAACTTGGCTTGGTTTGTATTTACACCACATTGCCTGACTTACTCTTCTGATCATTTCCTCCTGCCTCTTTCTCTTTTTTGCCATGTTTGGGATCGACTCAGGGCCTGGGCACGGTAGGCAGATGTTTTACCACTGAATCATATTTTTAGCCCCACTGGTCACCTTTGGGGTACTTTTTTTTTTTTGTACCTGGGATTGAACCCAGGGGTGCTTAACCACTGAGACACATCCCCAGCCTCCCCTCCTTTTATTAAATTTAGAGACAGGGTCTCACAGAGTTGCTGAGTCTAGCTTTGAACTCTGCCTCCTGAGTTGCTGGGATTACAGCAAGACATGATTTTGTTTTTTAAAAGGGAATTAATAATGTATTTGAATCAAAGCATTCACATACCTTCTACTTATGTCCAGTGATATCTGTTTGCGAGTGGCTGATCTTTCTGGCAGTGGTGGAACTTGGTTTGTGGAACAAAACAGGCAAATCAGCCTACATGAGACCTGAATATGTGACCTTGATCGAGTCTAGGACCTTAACTGAGTTTATGGCCTTTGAAAAAGGAGGAAATTAATTGTCTAATAAGAAGTTTAAAATTTTCCATCACCAAGGATGATTCTAATACCCTTTGTAAGCCTTCCAGATGGAACAGTAGCCCACTTTCTTTTTGGCCTTGGAAACTAGCTTTGAGAAAGTAAGCATAACAAGTATGATTCGTATCTTCCCATTCCATCGTAGGCGGTCACCTTGAACTGTGCCCACAGTTTCTGCTCCTACTGTATCAATGAATGGATGAAGCGGAAGATAGAATGCCCCATTTGTCGGAAGGACATTGAGTCCAAAACTCACTCCCTGGTTCTGGACAATTGCATTAATAAGATGGTGGATAATCTGAGCTCAGAAGTGAAAGAACGACGAATTGTCCTCATTAGGGAACGAAAAGGTGAGTGGTTCTGAGAATCCCTGTCCCTCAACAGAGGACCGATTTACTTCTTAACGCCAACAGGTGGTTGTTATTGTTGAAGAAGAGAGAGCGCTAGGTAGATTATTCTTGAACTAAGGACAAGGTAGAAGAAATGCAAAAGAATAAAGGAAGTTCAGATAATTATGTAAGAAAGAATTAAGGCAGAAGTAACCTCTGTTGTTTGAACATTGGAGAAGTGGAAAACTTAGGTAATTGTAGCTTGGTGGTGAAATTAGAGAAAAAGAGATCTGATTAGAAAACAGATCATTTGCTGCACTGGAGGTGCTGTTGCTCGGTACAGTTGAGTTGCGTCCAGGGGTTGCAAAATCCTTGAGTTGTGTGGACAGTTTCAAGTAGAATGTGTGTAAGTCACAGATTCACAGCTTGAAGAATGCCCGAAGAAAACACGTACTGGACTTATCCATAAGAGCCACAGCTTAATTAGACAAATTGGATATAAGGTTAAGCTAAAGAGATATAAATATAATCCTGCTGCATGTGATGGCACACACTTGTAATCCCAGCAACTCAGAAGGTTGAGACAGAAAGATTGCAACTCAGCAGGACCTTGGCTCAAAAATATAAAACGGGGCCAGGGTTGTGGCTCAGTGATAGAGCCTTTGCCTAGTATGCATAAGGCACTGGGTTCGATCCCTGGCACCACATAAAAAAACAAAAACAGGGCTGGGGTTGTGGTGTGCGCCACTGCACCCGGCTCACTCATTCTTTAGGACCAGTGTTTCCCACTGATACCTGTGTGCTTTTGCTATTTGATCCCCCCCCAGGTTTTTATCTCCAAGGTCCATGTGATTTTCCCTTGCTCTTCCTTCTTGCTTCCTATCCCCCAGTCCCCTAGAGCACTCACCTAGTATGTGTGAGGCACTGGGTTCGATCCTCAGCACTACATAAGAATAAATAAATTAAATAAAGGTATTATGTCCAACTACAATTTAAATTTTTAAAAAATATATAAATAAACTGCTGAGGGAATAGCACAGTGGCAAAGTGCCCCTGGATTAAATCCCTAGTACCAAAGGAATAAAAAAGATACAAATATAATCCTGCAGTTAATCTGGGGATCCAGCAAGTATCACAGTCAGAGGGAGTTTGGATAAAGAGTCGGGGAAGGGATGAGTAAGTTTCCTGAATGAACTATGCTTCTGTAGTGAATAGCTGCTCATTTCATTGATGTCGCCACACTTGGAGCCTGTTGTTAAGGGCTGCAGAGAGCCTCTGTGCTTGAGACTTGCAGGACTTTGGCTCAAGAATGTCTAGGCTCCAAACACAAGGATTGCTTATTGAATAAGGATCCATTGTGCATTAAAATAGCATAGATGTGATTATCATGTTCAGTCCCTTAAATAGTCCAGCACTACCTCTTGGGACAGCTTCAGAGCCAAAGTGCTGTGATGTCAATTGGCTCCCTGTAATAGGCCCACCAGAGCCTGGGAGCTCACTGCCCTTACACCTACCACCTGGCCATTTGAACTCCATGGTCATGAGATTCTTGGTTGTACTTTTCTTTAAGTCTGGAGAAGCTGGAAGATCTTAGAGGCCAAACTGCTAAGAATAGAAGCTTCCGGTCACTGCTTTCTTTTCTCTAGCCCTTCAACAGATGTTAGCCATTTTGAGTCAGGCCAAGAATCTGACCCTGATTTTCAAGCACTTATGGTATGAAATTAGCCTTGGTTGGTTAGCCAGAGTAGATCCCAGAAGGCTCAGCACAGAGCTGAGGACTGTGAGTGTACCTGAGCTATGTGTGCCCGAGGAAGATATTCTGACCTGTGGAGGTTGGGGTGAACTTCATTCATTCTTGTTTTTTTGGTGGGGGCGTTTATCAGGGATTGAACTCAGGAGCACTCAACCATTAAGCCACACCCCTAGCCCTATTTTGTATTTTATTTAGAGACAGGGTCTCACTGAGTTGCTTAGCACCTCGCTTTTGCTGAGGCTGGCTTTGAACTTACTATCCTGCCTCAGCCTCCCAAACTGCTGGAATTATAGGCGTGCGCCACTGCACCCGGCTCGTTCATTCTTTAGAACCAGTGTTTCCCACTGGTTTTTGATTCCCCCCCAGGTTTTTATCTCCAAGGTCCACGTGATTTTCCCTTGCTATTCCTTTTTTTGCTTCCTATCCCCCACAGGACCACTGTGTTAGACATCAGGATAAAGAGATAATAAGGCCTCATCTCAAGCCTCACAGCACTCACTGGTGGAGGAGATAAAAGCCATAGACAGCGCAGTGAATTCCACAGCAAAAAGTGCTGTGAAAATTCAGAGGAGGGGCCACATAATTGGCCTGGGCAGGTGGAGGTCTAAGAAGCTCCACAGAGGATATGACTTTTGAACTGAGCCTTAAAGGTTCCCTAGGGGATTTGTTTTCCAATCAGAGGAAACTGCACAAGCAAAACACAGAGGCATGAGAAAGGGGTGACCTGTCTCCCACCCCTGCCTCGTGTGTCCATATGAGACAGTATTTACATGGTGCTAGTCTTACAGGACAGCCAAGACTTAGGAAGTATCTGCTCAGGCCAGAAAAGTACTTTCTTTTTTCTTCCCTCTTTTCCATGCCCTGGGAATCCAAATTTAATTAGAATTAGGTCATGACCTTTGACATATGAAGTATACTGGTTGTTGCCTAGGTGGGGACACCCATGTGCATTCTTGGCTTGGCCTGCTGCCTAAGTTCCTTCTCACAGTCCAAGCACAGTAGATGACTTCATGAAGCACTGGAAAGGGAAAGAAGAACCCCATATTCTATGTCCACCTCTGTTTCCCTTACACAGTTCATTATGCAAAGAAAGTACCAAATCCCGCTTTTCTCTCCAGAGGTTACCTCTTGCCCTTTCTGGTAACCGTAGGGGCTACACAGGAAACAGAAACAGCCTCTCCTATTGCATGCGCTTGCTGAGAACAGTTCTGGCAACCATCTCAGTTTCTGTAGTTATCACAGTGAATGCAGCTTTGAGGTTTTCTCTAGAGATAGAAGTTTCTAAAACCTTATTTAGGGAAAGATGTGCCAAAGGCAGCTTCACGGGGCTGCAGTATGGGGTTTAGACAAAATTCTCAGTTCAAATACCAATCCTCCTTGCATGTTCTAGGGCCAGTTGAAAGCTGGTTTAATCCTTTGTGCATGGGAATTTTTAAAAAGGATCAAATTTAGGATCTAGAAACTCGATTGGCAAATGTTTGGTGATATTAGTTCTTACTTTGTGGCAGGACCCTGGGCGGGGTTGCTCTCACCCATGGACTGCCCGGGCTGACAGCCTGTGCTTCGGTTTCACAGCCCCTTCTGCCTTGACACCAAAATGTTGGTTTGAGGTTACTGGTTAGAGTACACTGCGGCCTTTGTGAACTACAGAGTGAACCACACCCTTTATGACTCTGAGACAGAGGCTCTTCCAGAGTTGGAGATTTCTGGAAAGATGCACCTGGCCCACAGCTCTGTCCAGGTTGCTGGATGTTAAGAGGAGAGTGGTCCAAACATGGGACAGGAGCAGCTGGCAGAGTCAGACTCTGAAGTATCTTCCTGATCTTGCCCATCCTCCTTTGCTGACATGTTCAGGGAGTGACAGCAATATGGTTATCTGGCAAACTGTACCCACCCAGAGAGAGTACTTGTTAATAGGGCCTTTTAACTTATCTAGTCCTGTTCTGAGGGAATCCAGAATTATATGCATGAAGTATTACTGCCTGCCTTGTATAGGACCACACTCACCCAAGAGAAAATGGCTCTCATGCACGCACTGAAATAGTGTATAACACTACTCTAGGAAGTTTTGATTTTTAAAAATGTATCATGGGATAGAAAATGAATGATCTTGTTACTCAAAGGTTTTATTTTTCTAATACCACCCCCCCTTTCCCTCTCTGTTCTTTTGTCTACTATTATCCTTTTCTTGTCATCAAAATGGGATCATCCTCTGTTTAGCTTCCTCCCCTCGTCACCCATAACTGACATCTAGGTATGCAGTGTGATATGGAAAGGGTGTCACAGGAATGTCCTCCCGGTGCTTAGTGGAGGGCAGCTGTGACATTAATTGGACCATGTGAAACAGCAGCCAGAGAGTCCTAGGACTTCAGGTTCCTTGTTGAGGTGTACTCCTTGTGATTCCAGAGCCATCCTTCCATAAGGAGGCCAGGTTCCCTGACTTTTGTGCTCAGTGGAGAGGGTCTTTTTCCTTTCACCAAAAGCTACCACTTCCCTGCTAGTCCCTAGAAAAGCTTCCACAGCTCAGGAGAGTGGCTTTCCTGGATACTGTTAACCCTCCTTCATTGAACCCTAAATGCATAGACAGTTGAATTTAAAAAAAAATATATTTTTGGTTCTAATTAGTTATACATGACAACGGAATGCATTTCAATTCATTGTACAATAATGGAGCACAACTTTTCATTTCTCTGGTTGTACACGATATAGAGTCACACCAGATGTGCAGTCATACATGTACCTGGGGTAATGATGTTCGTCTCATTTCACCACCTGTCCTGCCCCCAGTCCCCCTCCCCTTACCTCCCTCTCTTTGGCCCAATCAAAGTTCCTCCATTCTCCCCACAGTGCCCTGCCCCCCTTATGGATCAGCATCCACGTATCAGAGAGAGCATTTGGCCTTTGGTTTTTTGGGATTGGCTTAGTTCGCTTAGCATGATATTCTCCAGCTCCATCCATTTACCTGCAAATGCCATGATTTTATTCTCCTTTTATACACTCAGTAATATTCCATTGTGTATAGTTACCACAGTTTTTTTTTTATCCAGTCATCTATTGAAGGGCATCTAGGTTGGCTCCACAGTTTAATATTGTGAATTGTGCAGCTATAAACATCGAAGTGGCTGTAGACAGTTGAATTTGAGGGAACTGTGCCTGGCTAGAGTAGAGAGGTCAAGGGCTGACCTTGACTGCCTGCCCCCTCACCTTTAAATAAGCCCTGCGGAGGCCAGTGCAGGAGAGGGGAGTCTGGTTGTGGGGAGCCCCAGTGAGTGAGTGCAGTTTTCTTGAAGGTGAAGCCTGGGACAGGGGATATGGCTCAAGCGGTAGCCCTCTCGCCTGACATGCGCGGGGCACTGGGTTTGATCCTCAATACCACATTAAAAAAAAAAAAAAAAAGGTGAAGCCTGGAACCTGCTGGCCCAGAGGGACCCTGTTGCTGCCACGGCAGTAACTTCAGTCCTCAGCCCCTCTTGCCGCTGGTCACTGGCTTTGAGCAGAGGGTGACATGATCCGACTTGTGTTTTTCCTTCCTTCTGCCTGCTGTGGGAGGAGGGAGAGAACGCGGGCTCCTCCTTATTTCTTTTTTTCTTTCCCAAGCAAAGAGATTGTCCTGAAGACCAGCCTGAAGGACATTTGAAAGACTTCAAGGCGATGGGAGCTCGGGATGTTCCTGAGGAATGTCTCTGGGTGTGACTCGGGCCACTCTGGAGGTCATCTGAGAAGCCACGTGGGACAGAGACTGAGTTAGGAAGCCCTGTGTCACCCGCCTCCGTGATGGCCAGCTCTGCTGCCATCGTCTTCTGAAGCACTACCAGGACTCACAGCACCAAGTGCTTCAGGGTACTTAACAGACTGCTTCACTACATGTTGGATGGGTTATTTAAGTTCTGTTTTTTGTTTTTGTTTTTTTAATTTGTTGTTGTTGTTTTTGATACCTCAGAAGCACTCAGTTGATGTTCGTTTTGGACAGTTGGGTGTACCTCATGCCGCCCCTAAAGGCAGCCTGTTTTTGACAGTCTAGTTTCTCTCTTCTTTGTGAAAACAAGATGTCATTTCTTGGAAATAAAATGTAAAACCTATCGGTTGCTCAGCTGAGCTTTGGCGTATTTACCTTCCTTCCCTTCCAGCTCCCAGAGAGTCTCACGAGTAAACACTGGCAGCTCATAGATCACAACCAAGAAAGTGACTGTAGCAGATGATAGACTTCAAGTGAATTTCAGCCTGAGAAGCCAAGCCCAAGACCCTGGCCACGTGAGGGGGCCTCTGTCCTGTCCTGTTTTCATTTCAGAGTCTGGTTACTACTTAACTTGTTTTCAGGTCCTTGCCTTCAGCTGGTGTTCTGAAGACATTTCCATGTCTGTTTTCCCAATGTCATGAGCTCAGGGGCAGGGATCTTTCTTTCTTTCTTTTTTTTTTGTTTTGTTTTGTTTTAGTACTTTTACTTGTGCGTTTTTCCTCATCTTTTAAAAATTAAAAAGTGTCTCCTTTCTGCTTCCCCCATTTTGTGTGTGGGGTATTTGGTTTTTGGTTTTGGTTTTTGTTTTTGGTAGTTGGGATTGAACCCAGGGATGCTTTACCACTGAGCTACATCCCCAGTTATTTTTATTTTTTTCTTTTGAATCAGGGTCCCACTAACTTGCAATCCTCCTGCTTCAGCCTCCTGAGTAGCTGGGATTACACTTGTATACCACCACACCTGGTCCACCTCCCCTTTTTAAACAGAAGAAAAAAAAGGAAAAAACCCCATAGTTTTAATGTTTGGGAGAGAGACGCTTAGGACAGATTGTGGTGTCCTTGGTTACTTGTGATGAAAATGAAGGAAAAACACAGGAAGTTGAAGAGTAGTCATTTGAAGGTAAGGGCCCTCTAGTAGAATTGTGAAACTACTTGTGTCATCAAATGGTTTGCTTCCCTCTCACTTTTTACTGTCTAAGAACCTTTCTATTTTGTTTTTTATACAACATGTATTTTCATAAAATGTTGAAAAACGACTGACTTGGCAACTTTTTAGGAATGGTGGGAGTGCTTTATTGAATATACCATGAAATTCTGATTCTGGAGTCTCTGGTCTTCTTATCCATCTTTCTGCCCAGAATGACTGTCTGAAATGCTGGTACAGGGCTGGGAATGTGGCTTAGGGGTAGAGCAGGTGTTTGCCTAGCATGCCTGAGACCTTGGGTTTGTTCCCACACTGAAAGAAGTAAGAAAGGAAACCAAAAGAAAGAATACTGGTAGAGCCAAAGAGGAAATAAGGTTAAACATAGAAAAATTGCATATAAAGTATTTATTATGAACATATCATAAGAATTTAAAAAAAAAAAAAAAAGAACAGAAGGAGAAGATTGTTCCCTTCTTCATGTAGGGACTTCTTATTTCTCTGCACGTGTTTGATTGACATGATTGCATGGCTGCGTATTAGTTTTTTTCTTTTCTGTTTTAAGTTCACATATTCTCATTGGTTTTTAAGAGGACATATATCACATTTTCTGAATAGGTAATATGGTTTCATCATTTGAAATTAAAAAGGACAAGAGGACACAGAGTGAAAAACTTCTTACTCTTATCCCCAGTGGCCCTCTCCTCCCTAGAGGCAACAAGTATTACAGTTTCTCCTGTACCCTTCCAGGGACCTTCTCTGAATAAACAGGTAACACGTGCATGGTATTTGCCCTTCTTTTACACAGAGGATAAACTCTGTAGTATTCTGTACTTTGCTTTTCTTTCAGATATAGCTGGCCAGTAGTTCCATGTCAGTACATAAAGGATTTGCTCTTTGTTACTGCTACCTATTATTTCATTCTATATTTGCCCCATGATTTACTTTTCCAGCCTGTATTTTACTTTTTTGTATGTGTGCTGGGAACCCATTTCCATTCCTCATGCAGGGTATGCTCTGTCATTGAGCTGACCTCCAGCTCTCCAGTCTATTTCTGATGAAAGTCTGGTTGCTTTTACTGTTAAAACATTGCTACAGTGGACACCCGTGCACATCCATCATTAGAGAAAAGACCCTTTAAAAATACTGTGACTTAGAGCTGGAATTGTGGCTCAGTGGTAGAGCGCTCGCCTAGCACGGGCGGGACCCAAATTTGATTCTCAGCACCACACAAAATAAATAAAGGCATTGTGTTGTGTCCATCTACAAAAAAGAGTCAGTCTGTCTCTCTCTCTCTCTCTCTTCTCTCTCTCTCTCTCTCTCTTTAAATACTGTGACTTGAACCTGAAGGTCATCTGCAGAGACTGACCTCATAAACGGACCAATCCCAATTTGCAGCTACTCCTTTCAGGATGCCCCGTCGCTCTCAAGTGTGCCATGCTTTATTAAAAACAACAACAAGCCAGGCGCCGTGGTGAACACCTGTAATCCCAGCAGCTCAGAGGCTGAGACAGAAGAATTGTGAGTTCAAAGCCAGCCTCAGCAATTGCAATTGCAAGGTGCTAAGCAACCCAGTGAGACCCTATCTCTAAATAAAATACAAAATAGGGCTGGAGATGTGACTCAGTGGTTGAGTGCCTCTGAATTCAATCCCTGATACCCAAAACAACAAACCTCTCAAAGACATATTACTACTAATAATAATACATAAAAACTTAAAATGTAAAAGCCAGACCAGCTGGTTTGCATCCCAGTCCTGCTGTTTATAACTGTGTGACCTCAAGCAAGTTACCTAAGCTCTCTGAAGCCTTGATTTCTTCATCTCTAAATGTATTTCCATCTCTAAAGTATAGCAAAGTGAGGCCTAAATAATTACATCCCAGTTATTGCATTACTCCTAAACAAGTAAGAATATTCTGTGTTTAAAAGACACAAACCAAAAATTAACCCAAACTAGCATTTTTTTTCCTCTGAACTACAGAGTGTTCTTTTCCTGGAGACATATCTGATAATAAGTGTCATCCGCATTTTGCTTGCCTAGAAAAATTCATGGTAACTTTTTTGCCTTGCAGCACCAAACTACTGCAGTGTAGCTGAGGCCCCTGCTGTGCGTTCTGCCTTTAATTAAAGGCATAGTCACTACAGCAGGGCTTGGAGACCCTGGGCGGAGAGGGTTTCATTAAGCAGATGCACACAGCCAGCTTCTATGAGGGGCTCTGCAGTGAGTGGCAGGTGTCCCATAGCCATCTGGTCACGTTAGCCTAGAAAGGGCTCATTCTACCTCTTGGCTCGCTTTGTCCCAACCATCAGACTGTGCCAGGTGGGGACTTTGCCCTTTGCAGGTTGGTGGCTTGACACCTGTCGTCTGTTTCTCTGATTGGAAGCTGCTGTTTTCATGGGAAGACCTAAATTCCCTCATTACCTCGGAGACTTGTCTCTTTACTGCTCTTTCCTCCTCTGTGAGTGACCGACCAGGCAGTCACCACGACCACAGGGGTGCCAAGGAGTGCCAAGGAGTGAGGGGCAGCTCCCTTCAGCTGCCTGTGTATTTCTTGCATCCTTTGTAAGCTGGAGTCTCTCTACCCCACATCTGAGGATCACCTGGCAACCTGGGGTGCCCCAGGTGTGTTTATCTGACACACATCCCACCTGGTCTCTGATGAATCCTACGATCGGCTCTATTTGACATAGAAATTAAGAGAGGGGGGAATATTTTTTCATTTTCCTCAAACTCCAGGCAGCAGAGTCTGCGGCGATGCTGAAGCCCGGCTCATGTCCAAAGCTGTCATTTCTCACCGGAGGGGCCTGTGCAGCCCAAACCTCTTCAGTCCTCTCCTTTGACTTCCCCTTGGGATGTAGGGACCAGTCCTGAGAGTTCAGGCTCTCCTGGGCTTCTGCCTCTCTCTAGCCAGGGTCCTTCAAGGGCACCTCTGTGGCAAATCTGGGCCCTCAGCACTGCACATCGCGGTCGGTGCAGGCAGACACCTAGGGGACTTATGAGGAAGGCTCAGGTGACCCTGCGATGTCCTGGAGCTAGCAGCTACCCTCAACTCAAAGGTCATGATGTGGGGCTTGAGGGCCAACCTTGCGAATCTACCTAGTCACATGATTTGTTTCCAAATGTGCAGCCCTTACCAGTAGCAGTGGCGCATGCCTGTAATTCCAGTGGCACGGTAGGGGCTGAGGCAGGAGAATCACAAGTTCAAAGCCAGCCTCAGCAACTTAGCGAGGCCTTAAGAAACTTAGGGAGACCCTGTCTCGAGATAAAAATAAGGGCTGGGGATATGGCTCAGTGGTAAAGCATCCCCAGTACCAAAACCAAAAATTCCCTACCCTTGTGGCCCAGATCCTGAAGTTCTAGAATGTGAAATAGAGTTCCCCTTTATCTCCCCTTCAGATGCCCAAATGTGAAGGGACAGGACTGCTCGCTTTCCCTTTCCCTTCTACAGTTATCCAGGCCCTTCTTAGAAGCCCTTAGGTTTTGAACCCCTGCTGGAGGGGAAGAGTTCTCATCATACATTTGTTCCCCAGATATTTACTGAACACTACTACATGTTAGGCACTGTGCTAGATACTAGGATTACAGCATTGAAGAAGATGGACACACTCGCTGAACTTGTCCTCTGGGGAATACATATAAATGCATTTTTAGGTGGGATAGTCCTGAGAGCCAAAAAAGCACGGAACCTGGAGCATGTGACATCTAAGCTGAGACCCCAAGAATGCTAGAGATCAGCAGAGTACAGCTGCAAAGAGGGTAGGACTAGGGAGGGGACAAGGAACATCTGGGTGGAGAGAGGTGGGAAGGCTTGGAGGTGAGGGAGAGCGAGCATGTGGCCTCTGATGGAATGAAGGTAAGGCGTTCTACGTAGCAGGATGGTACAGTGCAGTGAGAGGAGGGGTCAGTTAGTAAGAGCACAGTGACATTTGTTGACCATTGCTAGCGCATGAGTGAACTCATGCCAACCCTGTTAGTAATCCATTTTACAGATGAGAAAATCGAGTGAGAGTTGGATTTTATCCAAAGTACAGATAGAGGTCACTGAAGGTCATAATAGGGAGCAGTGGCATTTTTCTGTGTTTTTGGAAGCTCACTCTGTGCCATGTGGAGGGTGGGTTAGAGGGAAGGACAAGAGGAACTAGGGACACATCAGGCAATTGCAGTAATCCGTTCAAGAGGTTAGGTGGCCTGAAATAAGGCAG